GAGGAGCAGATCCGCTGCCACTTAAGGGCCCCTTAAGTGAGCGGGCTGTCTTGGCCTCCGGGAGCCACCACCACCCGAAGGGAGGAGCAGCATCCCTGCAGCGCAGTTCCCCTGAGTAGAGCGGGCTGTCTTGGCCTCCGGAGAAGCCCCCCCGAAGGAGGAGCAGATCCGCTGCACTTAAAGGCCCCTTCTTAAGTGCGCCTGCTTTCTTGGCTTCGGGAGCCCCCCCAAAGAGGAGCCAGACCCGCTGCACTTAAGGCCCTGAAGTGCAGCGGGTGTTCTTGGCCTCCCGGAACCCCCCCGAAGGAGGAGCAGATTCCGCTGCACTCAAGGGCCCCTTAAGTGCAGGCGGGCTCTGTCTTGGCCTCCGGGAGCCCCACCCCCCGAAAGGAGGAGCAGGCCACGCTGCACTTAAGGGGCCCCTAAGTGCACAGCGGGCCCTATGTCTTGGCCTGCGGGGGAGCACCCCGAAGGGAGGAGCAGATTCCGCGCACTTAAGGGCCCCTGAAGTGCAGAGGGCTGTCTTGTCCTCCTGGGAGCCCCCCCGAAGGAGGAGCAGATCCCGCTGCACTTAAGGGCCCCTGAAGTTGCAGCGGGCTGTCTAGGCCTTCTGGAGCCCCCCGAAGGAGGAGCAGATCCGCTGCACTTAAAGCGGCCCCTTTAAGTTGAAGCGGGCTGTCTTGGCCTCCGGGAGCCCCCCCGAAGGAGGAGCAGATCCGCTGTACTTAAGGGCCCCTTAAGTGCAGCGGGCTGTCTAGGCCTCCGGGAGCCGCCCCCGAAGGAGGAGCAGATCCGCTGCACTTAAGGGCCCCTTAAGTGCAGCGGGTTGTCTTGGCCTCCGGGAGCCCCCCCGACGGAGGAGCAGATCCGCTGCACTTAAGGGCCCCTTAAGTGCAGCGGGCTGTCTTGGCCTCCGGGAGCTCCCCCGAAGGAGGAGCAGATCCGCTGCACTTAAGGGCCCCGTAAGTGCAGCGGGCTGTCTTGGCCTCCAGGAGCCCCCCCGAAGGAGGAGCAGATCCGCTGCACTTAAGGGCCCCTGAAGTACAGCGGGCTGCCTTGGCCTCCGGGAACCCCCCCCGAAGGAGGAGCAGAGCCGCTGCACTTAAGGGCCCCTTAAGTGCAGCGGGCTGTCTTGGCCTCCGGGAACCCCCCCCCGCAGATCCGCTGCACTTAAGGGACCTTAAGTGCAGCGGGCTGCCTTGGCCTCCGGGAGCCCCCCGAAGGAGGAGCAGATCCGCTGACTTAAGGGCCCCTGAAGTGCAGCGGGCTGTTTTGCTCCGAAAGCCCCCCCGACGGAGGAGCAGAGCTGCTGCACTGAAGGGCACCTTAAGTGCAGCGGGCTGTCTTGGCCTCCGGGAGCCCCCCCGAAGGAGGAGCAGATCCGCTGCACTTAAGGGCCACCTTAAGTGCAGCGGGCTGTCTTGGCCTCCGGGAGCCCCCCCGAAGGAGGAGCAGATCCGCTGCACTTAAGGGCCCCTGAAGTACAGCGGGCTGTCTTGGCCTCCGGGAGCCCCCCCGAAGGAGGAGCAGATCCGCTGTACTTAAGGGCCCCTTAAGTGCAGCGGGCTGTCTTGGCCTCCGGGAGCCCCCCCGAAGGAGGAGCAGATCCGCTGCACTTAAGGGCCCCTTAAGTGCAGCGGGCTGTCTTGGCCTCCAGGAGCCCCCCCGAAGGAGGAGCAGATCCGCTGCACTTAAGGGCCCCTGAAGTGCAGCGGGCTGTTCTGGGCTCCCGTCGAAGACCCCGCCGGGAACTTTACTGCACCTTCCCCCTCAAAACCCATGTGGCCACTGATCCATTTCGTTTTGGCCCCTGTTGGGTCTGAACTCCTCGGAGAAGCTTAAGAGGGGCCCCAGGAAGCGTCCAAGAGGGCCCCACAGACCCCCAAGATAAGCCCAAGAGGGCTGCTCCTCCTCCTCCTCCGGCTCCTCCTGCTCCTCCCACCTCCTCCTCGTCCTCCTCCTCCCCGCCGCTCTCTCTTGCACGCGCGGGGCCGGCGGGCGGCGCGCGGGCGGCGCGCGGGGCACCGTCTCGCCGTCGCCGCCGCCGCCTCCTGTTCCTCCGCTGCCTCCTCCTCCTCGCGGCCCTCCTCCTCCTCTCGGTCGAGGCGTACCGGCCGCCACCCTGCCGACGACCGATCGAAGCACCCCCCTCCGCCTCCACCTCCTGCTCCTCCGGCTCCTCCACCTCCTCCTCCTCCTCCCCTCCTCCTCCTCCTCCTCCCCCCGTTCTCCTCCTGCGAACAAGCACGTGCGTTTTCGGCCTCTTGAATCCGTTTTCGGCCTCTGGGGCCCTCAAGCATCAAACCGGAACAAAAAATGCGTTCCGGCGGTGCCAGGATCGCCCCGAGCGGCCGCCGGAGGCCCGACTGATGACCCGAAAGCCGACGGAGACAAGGCTCGCCCTTTTGGCCCTCGCCTCCCCCCCCCGTCGCTGCGGCTGGACGCAGCTCGGGAAACTGAGGTGAATTGACCCCAGGGGCCGATTTTGAACGGCCTTGGGCCAAGCAGTACGATCGCAGTGACCTCCGCAGGAGGAACGGGAGGACCAGGAGGACGAAGTGCAGGAGGTGGCGACGGGGCGGGGGGCAGGAAGGAGCATGAGAGGAAAGTGGGCGGGATAGTAACTGGAGGGCGACGGGCAGGGCCCAGGCAAAGATGGACAGGGACAGAAGGGAGAGTCGCGCAATAGCCAGGATGAGGGCTCTCGTCCGCAGGAAGCACGATTTGATCCGGGAAAAGGTGGCGTACATGTACTGTCGCGTCTGGCGCCACGGGGCCGTGCTCCACCACGCACCCTGAAAAGCCAGAAATCTGTTCTGGACGCGCGCTAACAACGAGTGAGGCAGGTCACTGTCGGGCCCTGCGAAGGCACGCTTTCTGAAAGAAGAAGGCCCTCTGGAGCAGCGAGCAGAAAAGGGAGGGGGGGACGAGTACAGGAGGGGATGTAAATGGGGGAGGGGGAGCGAGAGCGGCGGGCGGGGGGAGGTAAGAGGGCGGAAATGAAAGGGGAGACAAGGGCGTCGCTAAAGGGAACGGGAAGGGTGGAGGCAGAATGAGAAGCCTCTCCAGGTGGCCCTCTGCTTCCATCCTTAGCCACTGAGGGCCGCTGCGAGCGCGACGTAGAACTGCGCCTCGTTAGGAGGGAGCGGGCGCATTAAAGCCACCGCAGGAAGCGATGGGCGCGAACGGGCGAGAAGAAGCGACCGCCGAAACAGACGGTGTGCTGGTGGGATGGCCGCGCCGCGACGGCCCAGGCGGGGCGAGCGCGCAGCGCGCCGCGGAGCGTGCGCGGCCGGCGCCGGGGCCCAGGCCCGCTAGGTCGGCCACAAACGGCCGCTGGCCCAGCCGCCGGCCCTGCAGGGCCCGGAGGCTGGCTCATCCGGGCGCGGGGTCACTGGGCCGCCCACGCGGGCAGGGACGGGCCGCCTGCTGCTCCGGCTGCTGCGGGGCCACCTGCTGCGGGGCGCCTGCTGCCCTGCAAAGGGGCCGCATGCTGCGTGGCGCTCGGCGGCCGCTCCGGCCTTGAGCGCGAGCGGCTGCCCGCGCCACGCGGCTCGAGCCTTGAGGGGTGCGGGCGGGGGCCCGCCGACCGGGCGTACGCTAGGGCCACCGCCTCCGCGGTCGCGACGGGCGCCCCGCCGGGCGGGCCGCCTTCGTGCGCGCCTTCGAACGCCGCCGGGCGAGCCCCGCGGTCGCCCTCAGCGTCGCTGCCGTTTGGCGCCTCGTCTTCCCCTGCCTCTGGGATCCCCCCCATGGGCGGGACATCGCCGTACAGCGCCGGGGCAGGGGCATAGGTGGCGAGCACGTCGTCCGCGGTCACCTGGAAGGTCTCGCGGAGAATGTCCGCCAGGCCGGGGAGGCTGTCGGGGCAGGGCTTAATATAAGTGTCCCCGTTGGCTCCCCGGCCCTTCTGCCCCAGCCCCTTTGCGACCAATGCTGGCACAACGTTCGCCCACCGCCACGCAGCTCGGTCCCTGTTATTGTTCGCCGAGACCTGCGTCCACGCGGCGGCGCCGCTGATCTGGCGGGTGCCGTGGGCCGCCATATTGAGCTGCTGAGTGATGGTCCCTTTAGCAACCCTGTCAGATGAGGGCCATAGCAAGGTCGCCCGCATGAGCCCGAGGAGCACTGCATTCTGCCGTGCCGCCGCGGCGTCCGCGGTGTCGGGGCCGTCGAGGAGATGGACGTAGGCGGGGGCGATGATCCTCGGAGGAACGCAGGCAGGGTCTCAGGCAAACGGGCCCGGGGGCCCTTATAGATCGTCGGCCTGAGCCCCGGGCATTTCGCTTTGAACCGCATCGAAACCATGCCGCACGGAGGTGGCCCCAAGCGGGTCCTGACCGTTCCTGAGAGGCCCCCGGCGGGAGCTCCACGGGAGCCCTGCCAGGGCCCCGCGAGAACAGCATTTTGGCTTCGTGAGGTTCTCAAGTGTCTCTAACCTCACCGTCCTTGGCCTGAGTGCATCGCAGCACGCATACCCACGCCGTCCATCCTGACGCCCCCTCCCCACGGGCCTCCTCGTGCATCCCAGGAGCCCTCCCCCTCCTCCAGGCGCCCCGCGAGGGCCCCGAGACGCCACGGCTTCCAGGTCGAAGCCAGGGATCGCGCCGGGGAACCCCCCAGGGCCTTCAGGTGAACTTTGAGAGCCCCCCCGGGTCCATGCTCCACACCTCAACTTGCCAGGGGTCGGGCGGGCCCGCCCCGGTCCGAGGCCAGAGGTCGCCCTGGGGAGCCCCCCGCATGTCCAATCCAGGGGGGGGGGCCCGAGACGCCGCGACCTCCAGATCGAGGCCGGAAGTCGCGGCGAGCAGGAGTGTTCTGGGGGGCCCCACGGGCTCCAGGTGACCCCCAGGGTGCCGGGCGAGTCTCGGCGCAGGCAACCCGGAACACCCAGCATCAGATGGGGGAAAAGCTGGTGCGGGCGAGCTGGCAAGCGTAGACGACGCCGATTTCGCCCCCGGGTCCTGGCGAGAATACGATCGTCCACTGAACCGTCGGGCCCCTTCTTGAGGGCGGGGATGTCCGCCGGCACCTGCGCGCCGAAGCCGACGCTGTTCTCGGCCATGATCAGTCCGAGGAGCAGACGCCCACTCTTGACGTGGGCCAGGGTCACCTCCATGTCACCGATCTTCACGTCAGCGGCCCCCTCGCCGATGCCGTAGAAAATGTGGAGACTGCAGACGCCCGTCGAGAAGATGGCCAACATCCGCTGGCATTGCCGAAGTTCGGCGGCGGTTTGGTCGCATATGTATTGCACCAAGCCTGCCAATTTCCAATTCGTGGAATCCACGCGGCGGAAGAAGGCGAGCGCCTCGATGTGGAACTTTTGCGTCTGGTTCGGCAACCCATTCACGTAGTTGTAGCACCTGCGACCCCCCCCCCCCACCCCACCCCACCCCCCACGCACACACACACACACACACACACACACACACACTCAGTACCTCGCTGGCCCCCGCCACCCAAAATCGCCCGACGGGCCCAACGGCCCCTCGACGAGGACGACCAGGTCGCCCCGCCGCATGGTCGGTCATCGAACACCCACCCATCCCGTCAGGATCTTGGGCCGTGGGGCTCACTCCCTCCCCGCCCCTGGGCCTCTTCATGTTCTCCAGCAGGTCCGTCTTCGGCTCCAAGTTGTCGCGGATGAACCCAGCGGCGTCTCTCTTCAGCTCCCGGGTGTTTAGGTCGAACGCGAGGGGCGCCGTCTCGACCGTAATCACGTCCGCCGGGGGATTATCGTACGGATTGACGACCGGCGCGGTAAAGAAGACGCAACGCTCGCGGGTAGCCTGGGCGTTCGTCATCCCGTCCGTCCCCAAAATTTGTTGGACGTGTTTCGCGCTCATGCCGGACAAGCAGTGGTACGCGACCCGCCGGGTGACCTGATCCCCGCCTGCCACTTGCTGCTTGTATGCCTCGAACAGGTTCTTCCCGTAATTCTTCGAATCGTCCCGCAGGACTTTGCTCGGGGTCCCCTTGTCGATCAGGTAATTGAAATCTGATTGGCGGGCTTTGCTGCGAGGATTGCTGCCGAAAATGCCGAGCTCGTCGGCGACGCCCGCGAACTCGTCGTGCCCGTGGAGGACCGAAAAGTACGAGCGGCCGGCCTTAGTCGGGTCGCACTGCGCTGACAGCTCTTCCATGGTGGCCCCGGGCAGGAATGTAAGGGTTATGGGCACGTGCTCCTCCTTGATGTCTCCTTTGGCATTGTGCCACTTAGCAAGCTCGACACTGTTGACCCAAAGCTCGAAAGGCACTGCCCCTCTCTCCAAAAGCGAATTTACACCGCTCTTATTCGTTTTGGCAAAATGAAAGAAGATGGCCGCGAACGAGCTGGTCAGGGGGCGGTTCCGGATACCGATCATCATGCCGTTTTGGGCATGAAACGCCAGCATCATCGTCGCCATGGCGGTCGGCAGTTCGTGCAGCGGCTCCACGGCGGCATCGTGCGCCACGCGCTGCCCCAATGCTGGCCCCAGCATCTCGGTCCTGTGGGGCCGCGCCGGTCCCTCTCCCGTGACGCGGCTTTCCCTCTCCCGCCTCGCCCTCGAGGGCGTGCCGCTGAGCCCCAAGGGCGCCTGTTCCATCTCCACCCGGGGGGCCTGTTCCCCTGTCACACACCCCAAACGGGACTCGCCGGGAATCTAAAAATCGCTGTGTCCGGGCAGAGGAGCCGCGGCTCCGCAAGCCCTGTAATGGCACCCTCGTCGAACTCAGCGACACCGGCTCGGCAAAGGCCGTGCTAGAGGGGGAGGGGGGTGAGGGCCAGGGAGAACAGGGGCTGGGAATGAGGGGGGCGGCGATTCCCACGAACCCCCGCGGACGCGAGAGAGAATGCCGCGACTCAGAAGGCCCCATTCTCAGAGAGGTGCGGCCCGGGTCCTGCCCCAAGCCTTCTTTATGAAATCGGCTGCCCGCTCCATGTTGCAATGGAGGGAATTCTGGAGAGGTCGCATGCCCGGCACGTGTCCTTGCCCGCGGGCGCCCATGGCGGGCACGGCGCGCGTGTCCGGGTCGACGTCCGGGCACAGCGTACACGATAGCTCACTGTGCTGTGGGAGCGCTGCTTGGGTGGCGCGAGCGGGAGGACGAGGCGGAGGAGTGAGGAGGACGGGGAGTGAGCAGGGCGAGGCAGGAGGCAGGCGAAGGAGGCTCAGGAGGAGGAGGAGGAGGTAGAAGAAAAAACTGCTAGGGGAAGGAGGGCCTTGACGCGAGAGAACGAGAGAAGGGGGAGAGATAAGCCTGATGAGAACGATCCGGAGAAGGAGGATGCGAAAGAGAAGGTGGGCAATGAGTATGCGAAGGGGGTGCCCCCCCGCGTGCCCCCCAGGCCCGCCTGCGCGCGGGGGCGGGGTGGCGCGCGGGCGGCTGAGGCGGCGGAGGCGGCGGCGACGGCGACGGCAGCGGCGACGGCGACGGCGACGACGGCGACGACGAGGAAGACGACGACGACGACGACGACGACGACGTGCGGGTCGGATCGGGTCCGGGAGGCCCCCGCTGGGGGGAGGAGCCGATCCGCTGCACTTAAGGGCCCCTTGAGTGCAGCGGGCTGTTTTGGCCTCCGGGAGGCCCGCCCAAGGGAGAAGCAGATCCGCTGCACTTAAAGGCCTCTCAAACGCAGCGGACTGTTTTGGGCGCCTGGAGGCCCTCACAACTCGGGAGCCGCGGCTCCAGACATCCTCAGAACTCGGGCGGCTGACTGACTGACTGACTGACTGACTGACTGACTGACTGACTCAGTGACTGAATGACTGACTCACTGGGCCGGGTCCGGCAGGCGGGACTTCAAAATATGATGCATCGTCGAGTTGGCATGCAAGTATCCTGACAAGCAGAACGGGTCGGACCGCGCGAGCGCACCTTAACGGGCAGGTCAGGCCGGGCGGGCGGGCCGGCCCTAATGGGTGGGTGAGGTCGGGTCGGGTCGGATCGGGCGGGTTATAAAATTTAATGCATCGTCGACCTGTCACGCGAGTACCCGAACGAGCGGATCGAGTCGGGCCAAGAGGGCGGACCCTAACAATCGAGACGAGTCGGGACGGGCTGACCCTAACATGCGGGTCGTTTCGACCCTGCAGGCCTCCCCCCAGGCTGGGGGGAGGCCTCCGGCAAACCTCCCCTGGTCCTCCTGGAGACCTCCCCTGCTCAGGAAAAACCTCCCGGGGGTCTCCGGGAGATTTCCCCTGGTCCTGTGGGAGATCTGGGGGGAGGCCTCCCCCCAGCCTGGGGGGAGGCCTCCCGGAGGCCTCCCCTGGTCCTCCACCAGGTCTGGGGGGAGGCGTCTCACAAGCCTCCAGGAGGACCAGGGGAGGCCTCCCGGAGGCCTCCCCCCAGGCTGGGGGAAGACCTCCCAGAGGTCCCCCCCAGACCTCCTGGAGGCCTCCCTGGGGAGGTCTCCCAGGTCGCGAGGACACCTCCCTGGGGAGGCCCCCCCCGAGGCTGGGGGGAGGCCTCCAGGAGGCCTCCCCTGGTCCTCCACCAGGCCTGGGGGGCGGCCTCCCCCCAGGCTGGGGGGAGGCCTCCCGGAGGCCTCCCCCAGACCTCTGGGAGGCCTGCCTCTGGAGGCCTCCCCCAGGCCTGGGGGGGGCCTGGGGGAGGCCTCCCCCCAGCCTGGGGGGAGGCCTCCCCCCAGGCCTGGTGGAGGACCACGGGAGGTCTGGTACCAGACCTCCCCCAAGCTGGGGGGGGGGCTCCGGAAGGCCTCCCCCCAGGCTGGGGGGAGGTCTGGGAGAGGTCTCCAGGAGACCTCCTATGCGGGGACCCTTATGGCAGGCTGGCCTCGCAGGCACCGAGAGCAAGCCGCCGAAGCAGCGCAGGCTGGGCAGCAAGGCTGAAAGTGGGTGCCCAACTCCCACAGTGTAGGCGAACGGTGGTCTGGCCGCGGACTAGCGGTATCCGCGTGGTCCCCTGGGGCACCAATCATCTTGAGCCAAAATGGCTACGGAGGAGGAGGAGGAGGAGGAGGAGGAGGAGGAGGTCGAGGAGGAGGAGGAGGAGGAGGAGGAGGCGGAATATCAGGATGAGGACGAAGAGGAGGAGCAGGAGGAAGAGGAGCGGGCGGAAGGAGACGGAGGAGAAGGAGGAGGACGAGGTGGAGGAGCAGGGAGAAGAGGAGGGGGGGGAGGGGCAGGAGGTGGACAGAGGGGGGAAGGAGGAGGAGAAGGAGGAGAGCAAGGAGGATGAGGAGGAGGACGTCGAGGAGGAAGAGGAAGGAATGGCTTGAATGGCCGAGAAGTGCACGCGCGTGCGCCCGCGGGGGGCCCAGGCTGGACCTGGCCAGCCCTGGGCCCCCCGACCGTGACGAGGCCCTCGGAGACGCCGAAGTAGAGCAGCGTCACCTGCGGCCGAGAAGCTGGGCCATGACCCCGGGAGAGAAGGAGGAAGTGCCGTCCCGTTCGGCCTTCTCCAGCAGACAGCGACCCTTCCTCTTCGGCGCCGCGACAGCCTCCGAGACGCCGTCGCCCAGCGTAGCGCCTGCGCACGGCGCCAGCGATACCTGCGCGTCCATGAACACCTCAGCGACAGTGCCGCCGCGCGCCTCCCCCTGCGCCGCGTAGGAGGCATCCGACACCGCACACTCGGCCGACTTCCAACGCCGTGCATCGCAAGGGTAGCTGCACGCCACCGCCGTGCCAGAGCTCCACGACGGCTCAGTATGAGCCACGCAACGAGCAGCCACCTCCGAGTCCACGTCCACGCTCTCGCTCCCGCTCATCATGGAGTCAGTCACCTCTGCGCCTGGCACCGGCGCCTGCGAGACCTGCGGATCCGCGAACTCCTCGGCAGCCTCCCCCTGCACTGGTAGAGCCATGCGCCGCCCAGCCAACTCCGAGTCCACGTCCCCGCTCTCGCACTGCTCGGTGCCTTCGTCGGACTCCGTCGCGCGCGGCATCTGCGCAGCAGGGGGCAGGCTCGGCGCGAACGCCGTGGTACCGCAGTTGCAGCGCACGCCCACAACTCGGCAGGCCGCCCGCGGCACGAACGGCATGGCCTCAGCCCGCATGCCACTCGCCGCATGCCCCAGACGGGGGCCAGCCGCAGCCCAGGACAGCGCCGCCGAGGACGCCGCCGTGAACCCGCCAGGCGGCACGCGGCGCGCATGCCAGGCAGTGTTCCGCCTGAGCCGCATCACACCAGGTACTCGATCCCCTGCTGCAATCTCCTGCAAAGCCGGCCTCGACGCACGCCCCCGGTCCACCCACGAGCCCGGGGCGCCCCGCGCCGCAACCAGCGGCCGCAGTGCTGCTTCACGAGCCACGCGACCGCGCCGCCGAGCAGCACGCCTCGCCGCGGAAGCGCCGAGGGAGTCCGTCTCCATGATCCTGATCGCAGGAGGAGGAGGAGGAGGAGGAGGAGGGAGGACGAGGAGGAGGAGGACGACGAGGAGGAGGAGGAGGAGGCAGGAGGAGGAGGAGGAGGAGGAGGAGGAGGAGGGGCAGGAGGAGGAGGTCGAGGCAGAGGAGGAGGTGGAGGAGCAGGAGGAGGAGCAGGCGCAGGAGGAGGAAAAGGAGGGGCGAGGAAGAGGAGCAGCAGGCCACGGACAGCGAGAGGAAAGAGGAGGACGAGGAGGAGGAGAAGGAGGAGGACGAGGAGAGAGTGGCGGAGGAGGAAGAGAAGGAGGACGTCGAGGAGCAGGAGGACGAGGAGGGAGGAAGAACAGGAGGAGGCGCAGGAGGAGCAGGAGGAGCAGGAGCAGGAGGAGCAGGGGGAGGAGGAACAGGAGGGAAGGAGGAGCAGGAGGAGCAGGAGGAGGAGGAGGAGGAGGAGGAGGAGGAGGAGGAGGAGGAAGAGGAACGCGGGGGGGAAGAGGAGCACGAGGAGGAGAACGAGCTCGAGGAGGAGGAAGATCAGGAGGAGGACGAGGAAGGGGGAGGAGGAGAAGCAAGAGGAGGAGGAGGAGGAGAAGGAGGAGGGGAGGAGGAGGAGGAGGAAAAGGAAGAGGGCGGCGAGGAGGATGGAGGGATGGGGAGGAGGAGGAGGAGAGAGGAGGAAGGAGAAGGAGGAGGAGACAAGGGAGGAGGAGAGGAGGCGGGGGGAAGGAGGAGGAGGAGGGGGATGGGGGAGGAGGACGAGGGGAGGAGGAAGGAGGACGAGGAGGGCAAGGCGGAGGCGAGGCCAATGAGAAGGAGGAGGAGGAGGGGGAAGGAGAAGGAGCAGGATGACGGAGGAAAGCGGCGGGAAGGAGGAGGGGGGGGGGGGAGGGGGGGGAAGGTCAGGAGGAGAAGGGGGGTCGACGAGGAGGGGAAGGGACGGGGAGGAGCAGGAGGAGGAAGAGGAGGAGAAGGAGGACGTCGAGGAGGAGAGAGGGGGGAGCAGGAGGAGGAATAGGAGGGAGCTGAGGAGGAGCGAGAGGTGGAGGAACGCGGGGGGGGGGGGGGGGAGGAGGAGGAGGAGGAGGGGGCCATAAGGAGGAGGAGGGGGGCGAGACGGGACGAGACGAGAGCAATGACGATGTCAAAGCAGCATGAGCGGGAGCGGGGTGCGGCGGGCGGTCCCGGGCGCCGAACGCGATGAGCGGCCGCGCGGCGCGCGTCCGCGCACGCGCGCGCGCCGCTCCGCCCGACCGAACCGCGCGCGCGCACGC